AGGTCCACACGCCTGTGGAACTCTGCCTGAGCTCCTTCCCCTGCCCGGTCCGAGGGTAGGAAGCACTGACAGGGTCACCAACACTGGACTCCAAGAGCCAGGAAGGGTGCTGATCTCTGTGGGTTCAGGTTGCAAGGGACATTTCTGGGAGAACACGGAGTTGGGCTGGGGAACTTGAAACTACCCAGGATTTAGACCCATGGTGGGGGAGGGCGGTGAGTTTAGTGCCAGAGGTGGGGTGGGCTGAGGGGTCTGTCCAGAGGGCCACTCCAAGGCAGGAGGAGAGGGGCCAAAGGAAAGCAGTGGGCCAGGAGGGCACGGCCAGGACACAGGTGGACAGTCAAGTTCCCCCATAGGCACTGCGGAATTGCCAAAGTCATCAAGGATCTGGAACACATGGGATTTCAGGGAGATTACCTTGGCCAAGGTGTGACAGGTCACTTGCGTGCAGAGCAGAGAACCCCACTGGGAGGCGGAAGGTATTCTGCTAGGCTTTGACTAACCCCCAGCATGGTCAGCCTCTGTTGGGGACATTCCCTGGGCCTGGCAGGATTCTGTGTTCTTTTCATGTAACTCATTTAATCCTTAAAATAGCCTCACTAGATAAACACTGTTATCTCAGTTTTGTTTTTGTTTTTTTTCCCCAGATGGGAAAACTAAGGCAGCGAGAGGTCAAGTCCCTTGCTCAAGGTCACACCATCATCACATGACAGGCCAGGATTCAAAGGCAGGCAGTCTATCCCCAGTGCATTTCACCACAACACTGAAACACACAGCCTTGGATTTGAACCCAGCACTTGAACATACCAGCCTTAAGAGTTTGGGAGATTCACCTCTGAATCTTGGGGTCCTTATCCATCCACTGGTGGAACCTTCTCGGGCTCAGGCCTGTGGTATGTAAATGCCAGTGAAGCACCTTGCATGCTCAAATTGCCCTTCTGTTTCAATGTAATTGAAGTGTATCCCTGTTCCATTTAATTACAATGTATCACTGAGAAAGCAGAAGGCCTTGGGTCCCCCAGCTGGAGAGGGTGGGGAGGAGGATGCCACCTGGGGCGGAGCAGCCTTGCCCCCTGAATGCAACCTGCCCCCCGCCCTCTTCTCCCTTCATCCAGTTCATTTAAGGTCTCCACCCTGTGGAAGCATCGCAGATCCGGGATCCGTGGCAGGGAACTCAGCAGCATTTGTTCTCCAGCCCAAGAATAAACAGAGAACGCAGCGCTCCCGTCCTCAGAAGTGCATTTACAGTACTCGAAACAGATGAATTCTCTCTGTTTGCATTAATCGCATGACTATTTGGTCCAATTATTCTTACCACTTCAGCAATCATGGTGTGCTTGTTCAAGAAGAAAGAAATAACAACAGCTTATCTTGTCGAGAGCAAAGAACAAACAGTGAAAAATCAGGGTCCGCTCCTAAATGCGACACTTGCTGTCATTGTGCTAAAGAGATGATTCATGTTCTCATAGCAACTCGCGAAAGAGAAAAGAGAGAGGGGGTTCTGAAAGGGATTCAGTTGCAATGGTTAAAAACCTTTTCAAAATCAGTCCAAATGGAGATAAAACTCTATTTTTATCACCGACTCAACTCTGCCTGCCCCCACCCCAATCTTATCTTCTCATAGTGACTGATTTACATAGGTTTTAAAAATTCTTTCAAGTAACACATTTCACTCCAATAGGGTGATGGACAAAGCCTTTAATGCTGTCGCATCACCTCTTCCCCCGGAGCCCTTGGGACTGCTGATGTTTCCAGGGAACACTCAGCAGAAGAGCCACCAGGCAGCTTTGGGCAGGGAGCAGAGGCAGTGGAAGGTCCCCCTTTTGGTCACGTCAGGCCATCAGTGGTGCCTGAGCCTGGGACAGTTCTCTCTCATCCTCCTCGTCTGACCTTTCCCACAATCAGATCTGGCACCAACAAGAACCTGAGGGGAATTGCGATGTTTTTCATAGATTTGGTCTTGAACCAACATGAAGGCCATTTCCTGACCTGTTCCTGAAACCCCAGCTCTTGACTTCCTGCATCACCTCTTGGTGAGTCCGTGGATGGGACAACGTCCTTTGCTCATACACTGAGACTTGGTCCTCTCCTTAGCAGTGCCTGCTCTGGCCAACTTCAAGTGACTTAAATCTTGATTTAGCCATTTGCCAAGAGCATACTGTGGCCCCAGCCAATGAGGGGTGCCTATGTGTCACAAACAGGGATCTTAAGTGGGGGCTTGAGTCCCTTTAGCCTTCCATATCTGATGGGACCGTGACCATAGAGCAATGGCTGAATGACCCACATCCACACGGGAAGGCCCCTCACTCTCCACCCACCAGTCATCTGGCCATGGGTTGTAGAACAGCCTAGTTGATGTTTTATTTGTTAGCAATAATTAAGTGAGAAATTTGGTCCCTTCATGTGTTTGAACCCAGAAGGAACAAGAAGAAGCCAGGAGACAGTTGGCAAGCTGTGGGAACCAACTCTAGAAGAATCATTGAGCATCTGTAAAGAGTTATTTTATCCTTAGCAAATAAGACTCTCTTATAGGTTCTGAGGCTTAACAAAGAGCTGTTTTATGGTAATGTGGCAATTTACACATGCAAGGGGTCACTGCTGCACAAAAGATCTGCTCGCTTGACAAAGTAACAAGCATTTATTTATTGATGCACCCAAAACTAGACTTCGCTGCTACAGGCATGAGATGAATAAGTGAGCCTCTTCCCATCTTGATGCACACTTTTAAAGTAGAGACAAAGAAAACACCCAAATTATAATAAAGTAACAAAATCGGCATAGACATAAATACAGAGTGCAGATATAACATAAGCAGTTTAAGTAGAGTATTCGACAAGAATTGACACCCGAGGAGGACATCCCTAAGAAGATGATATCTAAGAAAGGTTTTGAAGGATGAATAGGAGCTTGCCAAATGAGCAAAGAGAATGGAAGTATTTCCCAGGTAGAGAAAACCAATTGACAAGGGCTAGTACCCGACACACTGACACAGGACAAACCGCATGTCAGGCTTGGAGTTGTTTTTTGTTTTATTTGTAATTCAGCATTGCTAAATTATACAACATTGGGGAAATTAGGGAAGGATTCTCAAAGATGTTTCAGACCTCGCTTTATTTTGTAGAGGATCTGGAACCACTGAAATGGATGCAGAAGGCGTGCAAGAGGAGAGTCTTAAAATTCACAGGTATAGACCTGGTGGAGCAGCGAGACCACTCATCAGGACGCGTTTGCCGAATTACTGTTACATGGTCACCAAGATTTTGCTAAACATTTGGATATACAGATAAAGCCCCCCAAATGAAATCCATTTCTCAAAGAAAAATACAGGATCTAACATCATCATCGACGGCGATGCTTACTCAAGAGCTGCTGAGGTCCAGAGTGTGTTCCGTGAGCTCCACAGGAGCTGTCCCACCGAGACCCCCCTGCCTGACAGCTGGAGTCAGCAGCACCCACGTTTATAGGCAGGACACTGAGGCAGGTGAGTGAAGGAAACTCCCAGGGTCCTGTAGCTAGTCCGAAGCTGGGGAAACGCTGGAACTGAACCTGGGATGATGAATGAGTTTGGAATGGATGCTGATTCCACACGGACCCTGACTCTCCCAAGAAAGAATTGAAACAAATTGATCCTCAAAGCTCATTCCACTTCTGCCCTGAGCCCCTTCTTCCCAGGACTGCGTGCTGTGCTGGTGGCTCCCGCTGGGTCACACACACGCTGCCCCTTGGGAATGGCCTTTTATCTGACTTTCTATGCTTCATCCAAGACGAAGTCTCCAGGCCTTCCTGACCCCGCTCTGTACCTCCCCTTTGCTTTCCATGTTCTCCAGACTCACCGCACGATCAGCCTGTGTGATCACCACGGCCCGCGGAGCCAGCCTGAGCCCTCCTGCTCCCCTAGAAGAGCTCCTATCACCCCAGAGACCACCCCTGATCTTAGTCCCTGCAAAAAGTTAAATGGTGACAGAGTCTCATAATAGAAAATCATGAAAACTGAGAAATAAATGTCACCCCCTTCACCCTCACTTTAGCACATTTCCACAGTTAATCTCCATTTCCCTTTCATAACATTTATTGTAGAATAAAATATATGTGCCTGATAAAAGTCGAAAAATCCAAATGAGTCTTTTCCTCTCCTTTACTTTCCTCCTTCCCTCCCCTCCTTCCTATGTATATGAAAACCTGGTCACATACACACAGGGCTCAGCTGTGACAGACACAGAGGCTGCTACACAGCCCTTTCTCCCTTCCTATTGTTAATAGGACCCCTGATATTTTTAAACACTAATGTGCAGATCACAGGAGATGAATCAGGACTCACCCAAGCCAAAAACATAACTCTACTCCCCTTTTTCAGAAGCTGGTTTATTCTTGCAGCCCAAGGTAGCCATGGGCTCTGATTCTTGCCAGAAGAATGTAACAAAGTCTACTGGGGAATTTTGGGAAGGTTTGGATCTTCCTGATGAAAAAAAGATCTCCAGTCCCATTCCCGGAGGGAATAGATAAAGGAACTTATTGTGTATTCAGGGTGATTTTCCTCTTGTTGAATACCTACACAGCCCTCTTGGAGTTCATTCAGGGGAGGATTATAAAAGTAATAATAATATAAATTTACTTGGGGAGAGATAATAAAAATAATAAAAAAATGTCATGCATACTCTGTTGAGCTCAGTGCCCGGCCCATTAATGCTGGCTGTGATTAACTGAGGACTTATTATATAACAGACACTCTCATGAGGACCTACTATGTAATAGACACTCTCATGGAATTTTGACTGTGTTCCCCTTCACCTTGAATCTTCATTCCATGCAAAGGGGTTTGCAAATGAAGATCCCGGGGCAGAAGGCTGAAGCGGGCTGGTCTCCCATGGCAGTGGGCAAACCAGGGAGCTGGAGTTTGGACACAGACCTTCGGAATTAAAGCCCAACTTTGCAATAATGTGTCTGAGTTGAGAAAAATGTGCGTGGTGGACAATTTTGGATTTGACAGAGCAAGAGTCGACCCAATGTGCAGAGTTCTGTTTCTGTTGAGGGACCTTCGGCTAGAATCGTGGGCTGCAGGTTTATTCCTCTTTTTGTATCCTGACTCCCAATGCATCCTTTGCAGATTTGAAGAATTGCAGAAGAAAAAAAAAATCTCTCTCTCTCTCTCTCTCCTCTCTCTCTCTCTCTTTCTCTCTCTCTTTTTTGGGGGGAAGGGTACTAGGGATTGAATCCTGGGGTGCTTTACCATTGAGCTACATCCAGCTACATCCCCAGCCCTTTTTGTTTTTTATTTTGAGATAGGGCCTTACTAAGTTGATGAGGCTGACCTTGAACTTTTGATCCTCCCATCTCAGGCTTGCTCCCTGCCCTTCTTTCTGTTTCATTGTTTTTTGGTTTTGTTTTTATATGTAGGATCCAGAAGCCTGGTGCAGGAATGCAACGGAGGAAGGAAACTGGGACCCTCTCTGAAGTCCATGCTAGCTACTGGACATCCCCTTCTCAGACAAACCAAAGCACTGTCCAGCAAGTACTGAGGGAAGTAGGAGGCGACGTTCAGCGGTGCAAGTCAGGCCCCAGCAGCGGGTTCACCTGGGCAGAGCCTAGATACAGCCAACGGCAAGGTCAGTGATTGGAGTCATGGTGGGGGTGGGGGCATGGTGGAGAGGGGTGGCAGGAGGTAGGAAGGAGCTCACCACTCAGCTTTTTTGGTTAATGGGGAAAATCCCAAATCAGCTACTGTCAGATCTTGGCACAAACAACTCTTAACTATGTGAAGTTGTTATCACCACATTAGCATTTATTAAAAGCCTGTAATTATTATCCTGACTCACGGCATGTATGTGTGTGTGTGTGTGTGTGTGTGTGTGTGAGTCCATCCCCTAAGCCCTGTTTATATGCATCCTCCTAATTCATTTTTGATCAGACTGAACAGGGGCCAAACCTCTTTAGCTAACATTGACTTTGGCTGGCTGTCAGGTGTCCGGGTCTGGAGGAACCGGAAGGGCTTGCTTGTGCTGCCTTTTTTTCAACTTAACCATTTGGAACCTCCCCGCAGTTAGGACCCTATGTTCAAGCTCTGCCCTTTCCCTCATTTCTCCTTTCTCTCAACTCTCACTACATGGTCCGATTTTAGTTGTTTTTTATTTTCTCCAATTATTTCACTTAAGCCAAATCTGCTCCTGGGCTAGATTGTAATTTCTCAGCAGAAACCAAGCATCCTTCGTCTCTTTCTTGCTGCTTTTGTTCCCTGATGAACTTGAAGTGTTTTCCAACAAATGGATAAAACATACACACACAGAAAAAGAAATAAAGGAATGAGTAAAAAGGGAAAACAAGAGTGAAGAAATAGTAAGAGCACAGCATTAGCATACAAGCTGGGTTAATGAGCCGTTTCTGAAGGCTTCACAAGGCCTGGGCACTTTCTCTCTGGTGTCCTCGATGACTGCTGGCCACACATGAGAAAAAAGAGTGTTCTGAGTTTGACAGTGTCGGGACAATGCCTCTCTGACAACCAGAGCCTAGCTACGTGACTCTCCGGTCAAGGAGGTCATCCTCCCCTCTAGTGATCCCAAGTCTCCCGGGCTCTTTGCTTTCCAGACTCCTCAGTTTCCTACACAAACCCACTCTGCCCACCCACGGCTCACCATATGCCTCAAGGTCCAAGCCAAAATCTAGGAACCACCCTGACCCCCCCCCCTTCTCTTCTCTCCTCTGTCCCCTGTCGGAGACCTCCTCAGTCTCTCTCCTCCACCTTCTCTTGGTAACCCTGCTGATGCCTCTGGTCAGGTCCTGCCCAGGGCATCATTAGAACATACTTCCCAATTGCTCCTCCCTCTCCTCAGTACCTCCTAACCCCTCCTCCACCACAGAGCCTCTTCTGATCAGGCCATTCTCCTGCTTAAAAGCCTTAGACAAGTCTCCCACTGGCTCAGATGTAAAGTCCTAACTTTCTCAGGCCTTCTTTTGATATCAGGATAAGGCTGATCTTTCAAATAAATGCACTTCAAGGTCCAAGATGGAGTTGGGAATTTACAAATGTAAAACAACGGTAACCACTAGAAAGCTTAATGAGTACTTTGCTTTACAGATTAGCAATTTTTGTGTGAACATAAAATGTCACTGTTAATAAGCAGTTAAGTAAGTACCATTGAGAGGAGCTAAGGGATTGGGGGTGATGGAGAGAAGTTGTGAGGGGCTTGGTATATGGGGGTGACCTAGAGACTCGAGGGAATGGAGTACTGAGGGTAAGCAGGGAAGAATGACAGGAAGGAGCTGAAGAAAGGGGGTGTCCAAATAAGATGTGGTCATAAATGGGGGCCTAGGGAGAGGAGAAGGGCCTGGAGGGCTGGGAGACTAGGAGGCAGGTCTTCACTCACGTGCACTAAGGGACAGGCAGCAGAGGAAGGAGTAGGGCGGGGGGTATTAGATCAAGGGATCCTGAGAAAAAGTAAGCTGCAGGTGTCCTGGGAAGAATGGAGTGTAACATGTGGCACTCCTGCCACTGGGTGTCCCCAAGTGTCCTCAGGGGCATGACACAGCCTAAGAAAGAAGGGTCATAGGTGAGGCAACCACGATGGGACTTAACAGAAAGATGACAGCCACAGAGAAGGGACAATGGCCCTGGATGGACAGGAAGAGCTGTCAATGGTCCTTTCAAATATTTCTGGGTGCTCGGGTGCTGCATGAAGATCAAGTCTCCCTCACCCTGAAGGTCTCAGATCCAGTGCCTCTTGGCACAAGTTTCAGTCTCCCCGTCCCCTGAAGTCTGGGGCAGATAACTGATGGTAACTTGCTGTCACTCACCTCTTACAAAATCGCCCCTGACATCATTTTCTTTATGTCCCGTGGCTAGCCGGAAGGCCCATGGAGGGAGGGGACACAACCCAGTTCTCTTGTTCCTGTGCTTTCTGCAGGGTCTCACAAGTCTCTAGCACCCAGCCTGGCAATGACTTATCGAACAGCAAGTAGAATGAGAGCCTGGAGAAAGAAACGGAAGAGGGAACCACGAGAAGGGAATCATATTGGAGGAAAGTCGATATATATGTATATCAATGGCTGCCTTCCACTCAGCAGAGGGCTGGGCGCTGCACCGAGTTCAGATTTGTTCCTCAATCCATCCCGACCGCCTGCTCCAACTCAGCTGCGATTACATCTGCTGCTCAACTTTAATTGGGCATCTTCTTCTATCTCGTCTCATGAACGAGGACAGAACGTGGGCAAAGTTTCGCCATCATGGCCCCATCCTAATTTACCAAGAAGTACTTGCCATCCTGGAGAAAATCCTTTTTATCCTTACATAGTGATGTGAGGATATTTCATTTCGTCCTTTATGTAGCAGATGTCTATCTCCAAACGTTGCTGGAAATGAGTATCAGCTAGCAACCTAGCTTCCCTCAAAGACTGTGGGGGCTCAAGGAGGACTCAGCAGCAAGCCTAGCTCAGGAGAAGGAGCTCAGATTGCATTTTTATCCTCATGTCAAAGCTGCCAGCATTTTTAATGGGAAACGAGGCCTGTGTCAGCCTAGGAGGTGGAGAAGGGGACACTGTGAAACTGAGAAGATATATGCATATACATAAACTGGCAGGCTGACCACATTATCTAAACTGTAGTTTTATAGCCATATTATGCACTTCATTTTTAAAAAAACGTTGAATGTAAAAAATACAGAAAGATAAGGGGCTGGTAAGAGGGTGGAACCCTTGGGAGGCCCTTCTCTCCCCCTCCTATGAGATACTTTCCTTGAATCTGAAACTGAAAATGCTATAGTCAGCACCAACTTAATTCCACAGTGCAATTAGGGTTACGCATTAAACCAGGCCTCTGTAGACAACTACCCGAAAAGAACTCAGAGCCTAAATGAAAACCAGACATGTGGCCGGAGCAGTTGGCACCGGCCAGGATCCCAATACATAGTAACAGTATAGATTGGCGATGAAAATTAAAAGCAGTCATTATAGTTAAATTGATGTCGTATTCACCAGCTGTTTATTCCAAAGGAAAAGAAAGGGAGTGATGTGGGAATTCTGGAGGCTGCTGGGACTACCATGCCCAGCTATTTCAGCACTTGTTGAGCTGGAAGAAGGCAGCCGACCCTCTCTTTGACTTCTAGCTAACGATGGTGCTTTTCCATGTCTAATCTGGAACTTCTCACGCTGGGAGCTCCATCCAAATCTTGCAGGTTGTTTTCAACATCCATATAAAGGTGCTGAGCGCCCACTCCGTGGAGTCTGATGAATTCACTTGCAGGTGGGACCCAGGGAGCTGGAGTTTTATCGTTCTCTGTCAGTGTTCCTAAAAGCTATTCTGGGTGGGAAATAGAGTCCCCAGCTTTGGTCCACTGGTAGCGGACCCCAACTACCAGACTCCAGGAGCTTGGAGTCTCCTCCCACTCCAGTTTCCTTCTGTGGAACTTGTCACTTTTACGTCCCCTTCAAAGTTGGTCGCCCCTTCTGAATCACCACCACTCACCTACTTCAGTGACTATCCATTCCTATTTTCATTCTTTCACTTATCACTGTTTGAAATCACCTGTTGCTCTCCCCCAGTTACACTCAAATCAACACTTTAGCTCCCTAGAAAACACACACTGGGAAGAATATTTTCTGCCATATGCACCCAGTGCCGTGCACACCATTGACCCTCAATAACCAAATTCAAGAATGAACAACTGGGTGTCACACAGAAAAAGGGAAGAACTCTATGGGTAGCTGGTACTCAGGTTTGAGGAACCCTTGGTCAATTCCCGGGTAGAAGAAAATGCCCAAGCTATGTGAACCCCTTGGTCCCAATTGAAATGTTTCCAGTAAGACTACATTCTAGAACACCTGGGGACAGGTGGGAACTTACCATTCTGAGAACTTCATTCCCCAAAACTGGTCTCCAGCATCAGCATTAATTAAAAAAAAAAAAATTCCCCAAGGATGTTTTGGTTTATTTGCAAGTCAAGAATCAGGACTCCATGGTTGAGATAGTTTTGGGGGAAAGCAGATAACAAACATCTCGAATTTCTTCATTCAAACCTCATACCAACAATTAAGGCATTACCTGGGAGCTGGTGAGAAATGCAAGTTCCCAGGCCCCTTCCTGGGCCTACGAGTGAAAATCTGACATGTACCAGGTGCAGGTGATTGGAGAGCTGCTCTTGGAGCTTTCCAGCTAATGTGCCTTCCTGTCAGTCATTGTAAAGCCAAGACATGGGATATTTTGAGTTGGGTGTAATGAATAATGGAACGTGTGTGCAAAAACATCTATTTCTTCTATGTGGTTAAGCCGAATTTCATCTTTGGAGATAGCCACCTCCTAGTTGCATATGTGTCCCATTTCCTGACAAGGGGGTCTTGTGCTCTGCTTTCTGCTACAAGTCTCTTTCACACCAAAATGCATGTGACTGCCAAAAGCATGGGGAGTTTTCCACTTGAGGCAACAAAGCTTTGAGCCTTGGCCTTGCTACTTACTGACTATGAAAACTTGGGCAAGTCATGAAGTCCTCCCTGATCTTCAGGTTTGTCGTCCATAAAAAAGAAACAATAGTCTTTGCACAGCCCATCCTGCAGGGCTGCTTCGAGGATCAAATCAGATAATTTACATAAGCGAAGGGGGGTGTAATTATCATCACTGCGTTTGCATGACTCATAGGATTCTAAGTTCATAAAAGCTTTGTTTAAGGAGGATGGAGAGGTGCAGGTGTCTATGCAATTTCAGGATTGCGACAGGAAACAGTCCTTTGAAATTCGGTGCCAGAGAGTAAGCTGTTCTTTTCAAACAAACTTATGTGAATCCCTAGACTTCTTAAAAACCCCATGTGATCCAAATATATTTCTTGTATTTGCCTTAGCTACAGGGGTACTTGGAGTTAAATTAGGTGGTTTGTGGAAATTGCTAACTCTTCTCTATTTTCTCTAGCAAACCATCTAAAATACTTTTTCCAAAGTAGACAAATAATAAATCAATGACAATAATAATAACAATATCAAGAAATATGAGTCACAACTCAAAACACATATCCAGGACATTTTGATCAGTGTTCGTCTAGACCAATGCTGGCCAATAAAAATATAATATGAGCCTTTTACATAATTTGTAATGTCCCAGTAGCTACAAAAAGAACAGGTGACATTTATTTTAATGTATTTAAGGCAATATTGCCAAAACATTATTGCTTCAAAATGTAATCGATATAAAAATGACTAAGATATTTTACATTTTTTGATCATACTAAACCTTCAAAGGTTGGTATGTATTTTGGATTTATAGCTCTTCTCTGTTGGGAATGGCCACATTTCAAGTGCTCTGTAGCCACATGTGGCCATTAGAGGCCACAGCAGACAGCACAAGCTAAGACAATGTTTTGGAGGGAGAGTTGTAATAACAGCCACCATTTATTGCAGGTCTACTTGGCGCTTTATAAGCATGTTAATTGCCTTAAGAACACCTTACATTAGGGACTACCATCTTTCATTTGTAGATGAGAAGACAACGATTCAGAAAGTGAGATCATTGGTCCAAAATTGAAAGGCAGAGCTAGAATCCAAACCCAGTTCCCCAAACCAGGACCCACAATCAACATTCAACCTTGTTTTCTCATGTACTAATTTGAGAGTATCATCAAGATTAGGAGACCTCCCTGTGCACCTCTTGCTTGTACGGCTGTCTCCAGCCGTCTCCAGGCACCCTCTGGAAGATGAGAGTGAGGCCTCCACCCACCACGAAGTAAGCTTCTCTCCACCAAACCACCGCTTTCAACCTGAGCAGCTCAGATGAGAAGTTTGGAAGAAGCAATTATGATTTTATTGCACCCGCTGTGCTGACGATTAATGCAGAGCGCGGGTAGGAAATGCACCCTCTCATTTGCTAACACGCACTATAATTATGCAAGCCTCTCCAGGTACTATAATTTAGGACTTAAAAAAGCCCCATTCCGAACAAGTAGAGCTGCACTTGTAAAACATTACAGATGTGTTATCATATAAATGAGATAGCTGTGACATGATAGCACGATAATAAATCCCCAACTTAGATTTGGAGACAAGATACGTCAAAAGCAAATCCACACTGCCACTTAATCTTCTACATAAACTGTTTATTTTTTCTGAGTCCTACAATAATACATGTCAGAAGGCTTTGATAGTTTCCAGATTAATGTGTTTTCCCCCTTCAGGTCACCACAAGACTACTCATTTCATTAAATTAACTCTGCTAGTTGCAAGGTGGAAACGTGCTGCAAAACATAACTGTTTGCACCAAATTGGGAGCCGGCAAGATGGAATTAATAAATAAAACTGATTTCCCCCCATTTCCAGGGAAGGTTGGAAATGCCACTCTGAGCTGCATCTTGATTTCCCAAACTCGTGTTGGGCGCAATGAGCCCTGTGATTATGCATGCGCGGGCTGTGAGACACGCTCACCCCAAACCATTTGTTTGATGTCAAATGGATTCCACCCTCTTGCCCGATGCCTCTGGGGTGGAGTTGGGCCTCTCCAGCCCACACCCTAATTAAAAGGAACGAGCGAACGGCACCTGCAAAAGCAAAGGCCTCTTCAATGGAGCCTCCCTCTGCTCTCCTTCCTGGAGTGAAAGGCACAGCAGAGGAGCAAGCTCTTTCACACCTGTGTGAGCGCAGGAGCTTCAGGCTCCTGACTCCTTGCCTTGCCCAAAGCCCAATTTTCAAATTGAAAAACTCTCCAAACTACCCCATCCCTCCCAATAATTTAATAAATCACCACATGGAGGCTGTGTCAATCCAGGACATCTATTTGACACTGAGGGCGAGAGTGACCACCAACCTCCAGCTTCCCAGCTCAGTAGATCAGGGGTGGACAACTTATTTTTCTACACAGGGTCAGATAATAAATGTGCTAGATCTGGCAGATCTAGCAGCCTACCTTACCACCGCAGCCCCAAAACAGCCATACACGATACTTGACCCAATCAGCAGAGCTGTGTTCCAGCCAAACTTGTTGATGGGCCCCGACATTTGAATTTCATCTAACTTTTCATTATGAACCATTCAAATATTTTTGCGTGTGTCATGAAATACTCTTCTTTAGGTTTTTCCTCTATTTCTTTTAATGTACAAACCATTCTTCATTTGCGAGTTGTACAAAAACAGGCGTGCTCTGATCTGGCCTGTGGGCTACAGTTGGCTGGCCACTGGCAGAGAGGACGTTGGTTGTGTGGCTGGGAAACAGTGCCCATTCCAACACCAAGGTCCAGCATGCTGTTAACCAGACCTGCTCTCTGCGGTACAGAGAAGATATCAGCAGATATCAGCCTGCTCTCCTCTGTGCCTTCTTCCCATGTCACTAATCCACTCAGAGCCCAAGAGAATTTCCCCTTGGCCTGGATTCAATCTTGAAAGAACAGAAGAGAGAACCCAAGACCCCTGAGTGCCGTTTCACACTGTAGCAGAATGTGTGTGGAGTCAGAAGAGAAGGTTTCTGGAAATGACAACCTGGGCACTAACAGAACATGTGGCAATAGGTGGCAACTCTAAGCAATTAATTGGCACTTTCTCCCACTGTTAACACCAAGCCTCAGATCTTTCTCAACTCAGTTACACACATGCACGCACACACACACATTCTCACACACACACACACACAATGGTGTGATGGGAGCATACAAAGCAGAACCAGGTGGCCATCACACACAATTGTCCTTTCCCTTTTCTAACTAACGGAACGCAGGACACTTGGCTGAGTGTTAGTTGGATACAGGTATCTGTGCTTCTGAGAGAAGTGAGGTTAAAGGTGCTGGGACATGGGTAGAACTGGAGATGGGACAGGAACTGGAACGAGAGGGCATATTTTCCCCCTGTTTTGCATTCTCTGGGCTTCTCCACCCCATGGAGGAGTCACTGTGGCCACTCCTGCATCTGAAGAATGGTGCACCCAAAGGAAGAAATGAGACTTGGAGAGGATGTGACCAGCAATCGAGACCCCTGCTGAGCCAGCTGGGTTGGCCTCGACCCCTCCTCGTCCCATAGGAGACTAAGGACATTGTCCTAGTCCTATTCCTACTGAAATAGGTCCTTGGTCTCTCTGTCCACTCTGCTTTGTATTCAGTCCAACCTCCGAAAGGTGACCAAAGGCACCCTTTTGAAATGCAAACTTCATCTTAAAACTTTAGGACATAAAAGTACCAGATATGCCTTATTGGTGAGAGAATGGAAGGGGGATTGTCTGTGTGGTCCAGAAACCTAGAAGCTGGCCCCATGGTTTGGCGTTCACATCCCTCCCACTTTGTACCCGTATTTCATCCACTGCACACCCCACGCTTCCAGACTTCTGATTGCACTTGCTACTTTAGCCCTGACAGCTTTCTCTTCCCTGGTAAACATGTCTACCATCTTCTAAATCCAAGTCCAAGGAAATATAAATAGCTGGTATACACTGAAAATGACACTCCAGAAGACCAATGAAAATGTGAGATAACACACATCCTGCTGGAAACAGTGAGGAGATATTTGATAACACCATGCAAAGGTGGGGTCAGGAAAATCCTATTTTGTACCTAATTGGTGAAACACAGGTGTGTGTATCGATGATACCTGGGGTGGGGAGGTTGTGGCACACTTGACACCTCAACAAATGCTTATCTCCATCTCTCCCATAGAACACTCACACTGTCCACAAGAAGACAGGGATAGGATGCTAACAGTAGTACTGCTTATAATATGAAAAATATAATGTGTGCCACTGACCATCAAAAAGAGAATAGGTGTACAAATTAGGGACCCACACTCAAGTGACTACCCCACAGGGATCAGAAGATTGGAGGGGGTTATTTTGTTTGTACTGGTGGTGGTTTTTTGAACCGGGGATTGGACGCACAGGCACTCAGCCACTGAGCCACATCCCCAACCCTTTTTATATTTTACTTTGAGACAAGGTCTCACTAAGTTGCTGAGG